TTATTGTTTTCAAAGGACATAAATGGTATGAGCTACATGCCCTCACTGGAATTTAGGTTCTGACAGAGATGGAGGAAAAGTGAAGAGTGATCCTTAAGGTTTGGATTTGAGCTTAGTGGAAGGGTCGTGCTGAGCTGGATGAAGGAGGGTTGAGCTGATGTGAAACTGAATTGAGGGCTAACAGGTTTTCATAGAAATGTTTTTAAACATGACAGAAACATCTCATCTTTAATAGACCTTCAATAGGTTTAGATGATCAGTGTGGTGTCGACTGACAGAGATATGAATGTAATGAAAAATTAACACACTTCACCCTTTTTTTTTATCCTGATCATCTGTCCGTCCTCTTTCAGATGGCAGTGTGTTGTATGCACAGGTCTCCCACGATAGAGCTAAAACCAAGAAAGACAACGGTGAGTGAAGTAATAAGATTTTTTTTCTTTTTTCTTGTTTTTTATGCATCAAGCAATCCTCATTGGCTACACCATTATTTCATCATTTTAAGAGGGTAGTGATGATATTGGTTACATAATTACATAAATTTGCCTCACTGGATTGTAGAGTCACTGACTTTAATGACCAGGGGTGGAGGAGGGTTGAACTGAAGCTTTTTATCCTGATCATCTGTCCATCTTCTTTTAGATGACAGCCTGTTGTATGCACAGGTCAATTACAATAAAGTGAAACCGAAGAGACACAAAGGTAAGTAAAGTAATCAAATAAGTACCTAATTTCATGCTTGCTTCGAGTTTTAATTATTTTTACACAAGAAGAAAAAGTTGTAAAAATAAATCAAGTTGTCACTTTGAACAAAGAGGTGCTTGCAATGACATTTGACAAATCATTTCTTTGCAGGGAAACCAGCTCCTGCAGCAGCTGATGAAACAGTTTATTCTGAAGTTAAATCACAAACAGCTCTGGGTAACTGTGCAGAAATAAAATAGCTTACATGTTGTGATTTGTTGCTGTAACGATGAACTCAAGTACTAAAGTGTTTAAGTTTTTAGGGAGTAAATTTAGTTCCAAATCACCTTTAATGACTGAATTATGCTGCATCATTTCTTTCAGATTAATAACAAGATCTGCAAAACCAACTGGATCAGTGACAAAACTGAGTTTCATTTGAATTTAAGAGAGCATTAGAGAAATTGAGATTATGCACTGTTTTATAAGATAAAGTAAAATAAGTAAAATCTTTCATCATAATAGCCCAAGTGAT